AGAGAGAGGAGACAGAGAGAGAGAGAGACAGAGAGAGAATCTTTGTCTCCACTAAGGAACATGCTTGCACATTTTTGGGGGAATGCGAGCTTTGAACTGGAAAAGAATATGTCGTAAGTCTAAGGATAAATTTTTGTATAATGCTCCATTGCTCACAGACTCACATCCTTTTATTACCTCTAAACATATGAAGGCCTTGAACTTCTGATCATTATTTAATTAAATACACTTAGAACATACAAAAGACTAGATTAGTAACCAAAAGGGCCATTAGCTCAGCAGTTGATTCTGTAACAGCCAGAAAGGAGTCCTGGCTGAGTAACTACCTCCTATGTCTCAGACAGCAGCTCTTAAACATCCTGTCAGACAGAGATGGTCCTGATGACAGTCTTGGCTTTTCTTCATCTCCATCTCCAAGTTAGTGTTCTAGAGTTCCTGTAGCTAGCATAAGCTGAGTGCCTGGAAACAAGCCTGTCGCCTTGCAGTTCGGGAGGCTGCTTGCCTGAAACCGAGGTGTGGGCAGGGCCACGCTCCTTTGGAAGGCCATGAAGGCCTCTTCCTAGCTGTGGAAGTCTCTGGCAATCCTGACTTGGCCGCATCCACTTCAACACTGCTCTCTTTCCTTGTTACTTACCTATGTACAAATCATTCTTGTTGTACATGTTGTAAGTCATCAGACATTATCAATCCTTTTGATTCAATTGGGGCACTTCTAATTTGTGACTGTTAACGCTAACTTTCTTTAAGCTAGACTTTTCTTGAATATGGACTAGTGTAAATGGCTCCACAAACAAATGCTTAACGGGCTATACAAGTATAATATAAACCATGTTCAATTTTGTGTGGTTTTTTGTTTTATCAAAAAATATTTACAACAAAATGCCCCTGTCTTTTTTCTTTTTCTGTTGGTTTTCTTTTCTTTTTCTCTCCCTCTCCTTTATTCATTTTTGTTTTTGTTTTGAGACAGGGTCTTACTGTGTAACTTTAGATGGCTGGGAGCTCAATATGCAGACCAGGCTAGCTTCTAATTTATGGAGATTAGCCTGCTTCTGCTTCCTGAGTGCTAGGACTGAAGGCATGCACCACCACACTGGGCTCAGCCAATGCTCCTCCGCCCAGCCTCATGTCATATGGCTTCCTGTTCTCTACTGCACATTAATGAGCCTGGCACTGACAAGCTGGGTTTCTTTTCAGTTCTTGAGTATGGTGTAAAAGAGACAGATGAACTTTGTGGTTTTTAGATTCTCCCTACACCTACCTTTGAGTGTCTAGTTATCCCAGCACTTTCTTAGTCTAAATACCTTTGTTGAGATCCAGATAGCCATTGGATTATTTTGTTTTTGTTTTGCGTGTTTGTTTTTTGCTACCTAGCTTACCATCGGATTTCTGGGCTGTGTTCTCTTTGATCTATTCGTTGATCTTTGCCCACTGGTTCCTGGATCTTTAGTCATACAATCAAATTTGAAACCAATTTAAATTCTTCAGTATAATCCATGCTTACGGTTACTCTGACCTTCCCTTCCCTGTGCATTTTAGAATTCGTCAGCTTCTGCATTGGTAGATTTTGATTTCAGTATAAGCATTATTTTGGGTGTATTAAATCCCCTTCCATCATCACTAATGGGCCTCTGGAAATTTGATTGGCCAGTTCACGATGATCTAACGCTAGAGTGCTTCTGGGAGCTATATCTCACACATTTCCAAGCTAGAATCCCATCTTATAATTTGAACCTTCTAAAAATAGCATCCTAGTCACCCATGTTATCCTCTGACACTGGACACACCCGGACTTCATAGTGATTTACATTCTCACTGTATGTACAGGCGGCAACTTTTATACTGTTACAGGTTTCCATCATCTAAGATGAGTCCCACTCCAGGCTGAAAGAAGGAATGAAGATTTTAAAACTTATTCTGATGAAAACTTTTTTTTTTTTTAAACAGGGCGTCATCGTTGTATTGGAGAGAATTTTGCATATGTTCAAATTAAGACAATTTGGTCCACTATGCTTCGTTTATATGAATTTGACCTCATCAATGGATATTTTCCCAGTGTGAATTATACAACAATGATTCACACCCCAGAAAACCCAGTAATCCGTTACAGACGAAGATCAAAATGAAAAAAAGAACAAGGAGCCAGTGTGGAGACCTGACTGCAGGCTGCAGCCTGGCCGAGAATGAAGCCTCTGAGACAGCTTTCATACTGTACTGGTTTTTAAGTGTTCTGAAAGCCAGCTTATGATTTTAATGTTTTATTAACTCGGTGATTTTCTGTCAGACCTAATGGCATTTGAAACAGTTTATAATAGTTTTGATAGGATTTCAGGGAAGCCAGGCTTATGTTAGAAATCGTTTAGGGGAGTCTCAGTATTCAGCTGATGATACAGAATGCAACATCCAGGTAACTACTAACTTCATAAGCACACAGTGCCACAGGGAGGACTAGAACAGGCTTTGGAAGTTTCAAAGCCTAGTCAAATTCTACAAAGGCAATGGATTATTTGTGTAGTTGGGCCATTTCTGTGCGTAAAGATGTGAGAGGGTAAAGGTTAGGTTCACTGCGAAGCTTTAGGTAGAAGCAAACACTATTTAGATGGTGTGATGTGTCCTTTGGAATGTTAACTGGAAGCACTGCTCCAGGAAATTGCCAGCAATCTTGGACCTTGATAACCTTATTTCGTAAATATAATAAATACTAAAGAGTGCTTAGGTATGTTACTGGTTCCAGATGGTCACATTTTTGTGAAAATACAAAATCAAATCCTTATGGGATTTTTTTATTTTAATTTTGCTCAAGCTTTTTTTTAACAGTTAGGGAAGTTTCATTTGCCAGACTTTTAAAAGTGTATGATTTTTTTTTTTTTTTGAGATAGTGGAGTGAAAGATGGTATCATTGCCCAGATTCTGTGGAGGCTGTGCTCAGGAGCCAACCTAACACATTGTAACCGGGGGCCCAACTCTGTGACATGCCCATCATCTGTATTAGGAGTCAAGGTAGCTCTGTTGCTAGGTGTGGTCCTGCACACCTGTAATGCTAGTACTCAGGGGCTCAGGCAGGGGGATTGAGAGTTTGAGGCCAACCCAGGCTACATAGCAAGACTAACACCCTCCCCAAAATAAAACCTTTTTTTCTTCTAAAGTATGTATACTGGCTGGTCTTATGTGACAACATGACACAAGCAAGGGCCATCAGAGAGAAAAGGCGCCTCAGTTGAGGAAATGCCTCCATGAGATCCAGCTGTAAGGCATTTTCTTAGTAATCAATGGGAGAGGGCCCAGCCCACTGTGGGTGGTTCCATCCCTAGGCTGATGTCCCTGGGTCCTAAGAAAGCAGGCTGACCAAGACATGAGGAACAAGACAGTAAGCAGGGCTCCTTCATGGTCTCTGCATCAGCTCCTGCCTCCAGGTTCCTGAAGGCTTGAGTTCCTGTCCTGACTTCCTTTGATGGTAAACAGCAGTATGGAAGTGTGAGCCAAACAACCCACCCTCACCCTCCCAACCTGCTTTTTGGTAGTGGTGTTTCTTTGTAGCAATAGTGTTACAGTTTTAAGAGGCTTTTGAAGACGCTTTGAATGAAGGCCTAAATCTCTGCTGTTAAAGGCTTCACGTTAAAATTCTCTATGAGAAAATTTCTACTGGTCTCTATTGCTGGGTTTGAAGTTGTGCTTCAGTAAGTACACTTCAAGAGATCTTGAAATTTGGAAACTTACATCCTACTTGCCTGAAATAGGGACCCTTTAGTTATTGAGTTATTTAGGTAAGTCACTCTCGTGATCAGTGCCCCATGAGAAATTGGGTATTTTCACAACAAATTACAAATGTTGCTCACCTCTCAAAGTATGCTTGTCTCTCCTTTTACTGTATGGTTATGAAACTTTTATGTTATAGATGTTACATTTGGTGTGTTAAGATTATAGCCTTGATTAAAGTTTGATGATTGTTTCTATGTAACAGATTTTCTTTGCCAGTGTAGATGTTTTGTCTTTATTATTCAGAGAAGGGTTCTAGACTTTGATCAGGTTGGTACAGAGTCCTGACTTGAGTAAGGCTGTCCTGTTTACTGACTAGTTTTAAACTTTGACATATTTTTGAGCTGATACTTAAAAGGGCTCAAGCACTAGAATTCAACAGATTGAGATACTGATCACAGATCAGTTATTAAGTTACTGTGAGCAACACAGCAGAGGCCTAGGGCCATAGGATGGTTGATAGTCCATCCAGCAGTGGGGTGGACTCGGCTGGCAAGCAATTTTCCATCTACTTTTCCCCTACAGAACTGTCTTGACTTGGCACCTGTATTACTTTTAAAAAGGTTTTTATGCACAACTTTGCTGTTCAGCTAGTTGCTTTAGAATAGCTTTGCTATTTCTAGAAAGCTTAGTTGAAATACAGGAAATTAGAAATTCCCAGCAATGTACAGCTTTGTGGTTGTCTTCATGTAGCTCAAAGATCATTAACAGTTAAACACTCTTTTCCAGATGTAAACAATACCACTGCCATTTTAGTCAATGCAGTGCTAGTCAGGAGCCCTCTGGAGAACTGTATTCTCTCTGAGACTGTTCCAATGAAAATTTGGCTGACTTAGCAGGATGCTTCCTGAATTTTGCTACACTTTATTTTTTTTTTAAGTTTTTTCGAGACAGGGTTTCTCTGTGTAGCCCTGGCTGTCCTGGAACCCACTCTGTAGACCAGGCTGGCCTCGAACTCAGAAATCTGCCTGCCTCTGCCTCCCAAGTGCTGTGATTAAAGGCGTGTGCCACCACCGCCCGGCTTTGCTACACTCTTATGGATACAATTTAATATTCTTTGAGAGCTGATTTCTGTGTCTAGATTTGTAAGTCTCTTTGGACATAAGAACACTAAATGTAATAAAACTGGACTAATCATAAACATTAATGCCACTTAGTGTTGAAAACAAAGGCACATTAAAACTGTTCTTTAATGGGAGGAGAGAGAAAAACCACTTTGTGGATCCTGAGCTGAGACAAGTAATAAGATGACAGAGACCACGAGCTGTGGCTCAGTGAAAAATCAAGGTTCAACTACAGTACGGTGAAAATGGTGAGCTCTTTTATTTCAGTACTTGACAAAATACCCATAAAGTTCAAAACTCCGACCATTATACAAAAATAGGTCTCTACAAGTGATATGTTGTCTTCATCACCAGTAGCAAATATATTAAGCAGAAACATGTAACTTCAGTAGCTTTGTAAGGAAAGCGCAGGACACGGCAAGCTACTCATCCAGCAGCACGGCCATTTGAAAAAGTTTAATCTTTTCACCCACCTCATAAATACACAAAGTTTATAATTTACTCATTTAAATTAGCATTCCACAAATATACATGTAATTGAATGATTACTGTGCATGAACACACACAATGCTTATATACACAAACTCCAGTTGGTCTCCATGTGCTGCTGAGGATTTGTATACAATCATAAGCTGTGTATGTATTGGTCCCATTGAATATTCACAATACAAAAGCACAAAAGAGCCATTGATTTACAAAAGGGAATCTATTTAATAATCAGTTAATGTTTCAAAGGATTATCTCTTCATGCCAAAGTGAAATTGAGTAGTTGACCCTGTAAAATAAAAAACAAAGCAATTAGACTTTACCTATATAAGGGCAGCCAGCTGTTATGGGCAGATGGATCTGTGTAACACCATCTCAAAATGTCAGGGGCCAGGAAGATGTTTCAATGATCAACGTACTCCCAAGCCCAGCAATCTGAGTTTGATCCCTGGAACCCACATAGTGGAAGGACAACTAATATGCATAGTTTCTCAGTGCCACAACCATGCTGTGACACAGATGTGTATACACACACACACACAAATGGAAAACATTCACAAACCCAATGTTTTCAGACCTGAATTAAAACTCCCCCACCCCGTGTGTGTGTGTGTGTGTGTGTGTGTGTGTGTGTGTGTGTGTGTGTGTAGCACAGAATGCTCTAACTCGCTGGATCCCCTAGAGTTGGAGTTACAGGCAGTTATGAGCTGCCTGAGACTGGTGCTAGGAACCACAAGTAGGTCTCTATAAACAACAGTGTGTTCTTCACACAAAGCCACCTTCAGCCTAGCTTAAATTTAGCTCCAAGAGGCTGGTGATGGTTAGCGGTCACCTTGACTCCCTATAGCAAGGGAGAGGAGGAGAGTGCTGGTCTATTTCATGAGCACTCTGAAGGTCACTTGGGTTAAATACCTGACTTCTTGAACGAAAAGCCAAACTACCTTTCAATCACTGCAGTCCACATTATGTGGTATTAATAGAAACAGAGTCCTTCAAAAATAATCAGGGGCTGAAGAGATGGTTTAGCTGTTAGAAGCACTCTAGAGGACCTGGGTTTGATTCCCAGCAACTACTTGGTAGCTCACAATCCTCTATATAACTCCAGTCCTAGGAGATTTGATGTCTTCTTCTGGCCTTTCCAGGCATCAGCCATGAATGTGGTGCTCAGACACACATGGAGAGAAAACATCCATACATACAGAATAACTAAGATCAAGCAAACAAAAACATCCATCAAAACAGATAGCTAGCACAATGGCTTAAACTAAAACGACTCAGTCTTTGGGTCAGTAGTAAGTGAATGAATGCAGGGGAATTTTCCTGTGATGAATGAAAACTACCTCTACATAAAGTATGACAATTTGTGTATAGTTCTGAGGAGAATACAATTCTTACAAAGTCTTAAAATTTACATTTTTATCTGTCTCTGTGTGTAGGTGTTATCCCACAGTGCAGGTCAGAGGACAACTTGTGGGAGTTGGTTTTCTCCTTCCTTGTGGGTTGTGGGGATTGAACTCAGGTGCTCAGGCTTGGAGGCAGGCACCTTTAACTGCTGAATCATCTCTCCACTCCTTAAAAGTTCATCCTTACGTAACATGGTTCATATGTTGAGGGAAGATATGATGATGCTTAGTGTCTTACAAGGCAAGGCTTGTTGGGAGGCCATGCGGAAGGACAATGAGTGGAGACAATGGCTGCATGACCTGCTTAGGGCAGGGCTTGCTTCCCCCGTCTACACCTTGCTGCTTTCTACCATGTGCTACTTAGGAACAGTTTCTATGCTGGGCCTGAGACTCACAGTACCTTGCAGATGGTACCCATCATGCACTGTGTCTAAACCCAATGAAGACAGTACAAAATCACACTGTCAGGGGTGCTGTTGGAACACATTTAAGCTAATGTATGATAAAGAGTTCTCCGCTGGTCAGAGTTTAAGCTGGGACAACCGGGTAACTTCTGCACTAAGCTACAAGATTTGATTAACCTGCAGAAACACACAGAAGAGTTAGAGACACATGAGTGGATCTAGCATTGCCGCTACAGAGAAGTGGTTAAGATCCAGTACCTGACTGTATAGCTCCAAGTCGCCTTTTCAGTGCCTCTAGCCTAGAGACGTAATCTGTTAGAGATTTATCAGGATTGTACTGGTGAAGTTGAGAAGAAGCCATTGAAATAGAATTTAAGTCTCCTGGAGTACCCGGGTACCTACGGATTAAATTATATTCAGGAATCCAATTTGCCAGAAACAACGCAGCAAAACTGACAACCTAAGTCCCTGTTGCTCTATACACTGCCTGAGCTACGATTCCAGACTTGGATCCAAAGATGCCATTATGAGAAGGCCCAGCACAAGCCCTGCAGAGGTGCTCAGAATATGCAGGATGTGTGTTAAGCAACTTCTCACAGGTCTACAGCATTATCTTCTTTTTTGTAATGGATGGCTATCAATACTTCTCAAATGTTTAACTACAGCATATATTTATAAACAGTTTATAAATTGTTTACTATGCCTTTAGAAACCATTTACAAATTAAAAAGTAGCTCTGATTCTAAGCTTTACGACAGAGAAACTACATATAACTAAATATGTTTAGCTCTCACAATGTAACAATGTCATAAGCTCTAACAGTCGACTTCTCTCTGAAATATCATTTCCTCCACCCACGTTTGATAAATTCTTACCTATTCTGCAATGGTAAGGGAGATCTAGGATAGTCCAAATCGAATCTTGAGCGGTATGTTGTGTGTCTTGGTTCTCCATACAGCTCCAGCCCACCAGGAGAATGAGAGAATGGATCAATCTTTTCAATGCCTAAATAAATCCAAATATATCACCATAATGAAAAAAAGTACCAAGCCTCAGGAGACACCTATACACCAGGAAGGGTTTAAAAGAATAGTAGTATATGATGCTATGTATTATTTACAGCCAGTTTCAATTCTTGCTAAAAGAGAACAGTACAAACAAAAGAGCCTTTCAGCAGTTTTCTGTTTACCTCTGAATATGACTATTTCTGGTATCAAGAACTATGCTTCAAAGAAAATAAACTCACTGGAATATTTCCCTTGTAAAATACCTATCCCAAAATGCTCTCAGGGTACCAAGCATACTTTCTTTGCTGCCCTGCTATAAGAACACCTGAACAGCCGGGCGGTGGTGGCGCACGCCTTTAATCCCAGCACTTGGGAGGCAGAGGCAGGCGGATTTCTGAGTTTGAGAGTTCAAGGCTAGCCTGGTCTACAGAGTGAGTTCCAGGACAGCCAGGGCTACACAGAGAAACCCTGTCTTGAAAAAAACAAAACAAAAAAAAAAGAACACCTGAACATGGTACAGTACTGACACTGCAGTGTGTGTCCTCTAATTCTGTGCCTTCCGACTTTGGGCTTCCTCCTTATACCTCAAACTGTTTCAGCCCTAGTGTCTTTCCTACTGATTTCTAGCTATAGAAAGAAGGAATTGCAAGCTACCATTACTATATAGCCATGCCAGCTCAGAAACATAATGCTAAACAGGAAGTGATGTAACTATCATTTCACAAAAATCCTGGAATTCAGAATAGCCACTTCAAAAGGTTTGCACCCAGTTCCTAGGAATTGCAAAGTTAAAAAAAATTTATGAAGAGTAGATTTATTACAGCAGTGGGAAATTCAGAATAATAGTCCCTCAGTATCAGAGACAATTCCTAAAACAAGGAGTGAAATGGAAAATGCTTCACCAGAAAGTATTTAAAAGTGGCATCCAGAACCCCAGACCCTGCAGGTTGTCCAACAACAGGACACAACAGAGACTGAGTTTCCAAATTTGGGTGGGAGGGGGAAGAGACTGCTGAAATTATATCAGTGGCTCTACACTTAAAATGGCTAAGAAGCCAATGTAGAAAGAGCAATAGCCTTTAACTAAAGAAAAATTACAGGCACTTGAGCAGTTGGTACTAGAGCAGCTGAAGGCTCAACAAGAGTCTACTAGTCCATGGAATTCCCATGTATTTGTTAGAAAAAAGGAAATCGGGGGTGAGGGTGGGGGTGGGGGTGGGGGTGGACTTGAGAGTTGTTGAATCAAGTAATCCAACCAATGGTTCAGTTACTTTACTCTGGGAAGAGCAGGATAAGGCAAAATTTGCCTTCACAGTGCCTACATATAAAAATGCTCAACCTGTAGAAAGGTATCAGTAGAAAGTATTTCTACAAGGAATGTTAAATAGTCTAACTTTATGTCAATATTTTGTGCAACAACTGCTAGAAATAATTCATAGGCAGTTTCCTCAATCTACTGTGTAGATGATATTTTGTTGGGTGATTTGGATGCAGGTGCTTTAGAGAAAATGTTTGGTGAAACAAAAAGAATTTTGCCATGTTGGGGTTTTCAGATTGCTTCTGGTAAAATAAAGAGGAAATTCTATCCACTATCTAAGGTTATAAAATAAGTCAAAAACATTAACCACAAAAGCTACAGATCAGAACATATGAGTTATGAACTCTTAATGATTTTCAAAAGCTAATGGGAAATATTAACTGGATACAGCCTACCAGTGGATTAACTACTCATGAGTTAAGTACTTTGTTTTAAACATTACAAGGAGATTCAGATTTAGACAGCCCAAGACAGCTAACAAAGAAAGCAGAGAAAGAGTTAACTTCAGAGGAAAGACAGCAGGATGTATATGTGGATCGCGTAGGTCCCAAACTGGACTGTATTTTGGTTATTTTGCCTTAGAGTCATTCTCCTACTGGGCTCATTATGCAAAGAGAAGACAGTATTTTAGAACAGATCTTAGCACTGAAAGAAAAATGTAAAGACTTACATAGAAAAGGTTTCTGATTTAATTATAAATGGAAGAATAAGACTATATCAATTGTCAGAAATAGACCCAGCAGGAATCATAGTGCCTTACACTAATGCTTAGACTATGTCATTATGGGTAATTAATAAATATTGTCAAAGGGTCTGTAACAACTATTTGGGAGAAAGTAACAGCAAATATCCTTAAAGCAAGCCTCTTCAGATTATAGAAAGAACTAATTAGATTCTCCCACATATTGTAAAAGGAACACCAATTTCTGGAGCACCTACATTTTATACTGATGCAAATAAGTTGGGAATAGCTGGTTATAGGTCAGAAAAAAATAAAGTAATTCAAAGCTCATATACTTCAGTTCAAAAATCAGAGTTCTATGCAATTTGTATGGTTCTATTAGATTTCCCTGAACCTCTTAATATAATTACTGACTCTCAATATGCAAAAAGAGGTGTTTTGCATATAGAAACTGCTGAATGTATTCCTGATAATTAGGAATTAACATTATTATTTATGTAACTACAACAGGCAATCAGATATAGAAAATATCCATTATATATCACCCATATTCAGTCTTACACAGTCTTGCTAGGTCTATTAGCCCAAGGAAATGAAGAAATTGACCAATTATTAATAGGAAATATGTTAAAAGCATCAATATTTCATGAAAAAAAATAAGTTAACAATAAAGATTTAAAGAAAAAAATTTCTATCACCTGGCTACAAGCCAAGAAAATTATAAGAAAATGTCCTACTTGTTCTTTGTATAACCAAACTCCATTACCCACTGGAAGTAACAGAAATGAAGTCTGGCAGATGGATGTGTTTCATTTTGCAGAATGTAGAAAACTAAAGTTAGTACACCATACCACTGATACATACTCAGAGTTTCAATGTAAACTGCTTTGATTTCTGAAAAGGCTGAGTCTGTAATTATACAATTACTGGAAGTCATGGCTATTGTGGGAATACCTGCACAAATTAAGACTGACAGTGCCCCGCATATGTGACCAATAAGAAGAAGTCTTTGTATATTGTAATATAAAGCACATTATAGGTATACTACACAATCCTACAGGACAAACAATTGTTTAAAGATCTAATCACATCTTATAATACAGAAATAAAGAATAAACACAGGGATAGACTAGATAGTGTAGACTAAATAGTGCTAACAGTGTTAACTTTAAATTCTCTGAACAGTAATGTGAAAGGAACAGCAGCAGCTGACACTGGGTTATAGAAAAGCTGTGGAATTAATAAGCCTGTGTACTGTAAGGACGTGTTACCATCAGAAGGGAAGCCAATGAATGTACTGCGCTTATTTTTATGTTTATAGGAAACAAAAAGCTGTGGATACCATCAAACTAATAAGGCTCAGAGTTGAACAGGGAAGGTCTTCTGAAAATCATGGACATTGACCCAGAAAGAGGAAAGAAGAGAGCCAGACCTTCCCTAGACAGCCAGAAAAGCCTGACAAGAAATGTTCAGCACCTAACCACTGACAGGCCCGTGTGCAGGACTTTGGCCTCCTGTTACACAGAGCCATCCACAGTGCAGAGCAACCACAGGCCCATGAGCAGGACTGCAAGCCAAGGTTCAGAGCTAGGGACAGAGACTAAGAGACTTCAATGAGGAACTCCAATATACAAGATGCTAAAAGTTAGGACGTCCAGGAGTAAACAAGATTCAAGAAGCAGTACCCAAATTACAGGAAAGAGAAGCATCCCTGTTAGGTTCTTAACTCATCTGTGGATGTGCTCCTGGGAAATCAAAAGACAGATCACATCACATACCTGAGAACCCTGGAAAAGACATTGGGAAGAATTGAGAAGCAGCTTCAAAACTGTCTAATTAGTAACTAAAACAAATGGGGGAAATGTAGTATGAAATATTTTATGTGCCTGGCCCTTTAAGTGATCCTATCCTCTTCAGTGGCAGTTGCCTATTGGACTTCTAGGAACAGGAGTGGATTTAAAAGGTAGCAGAGGCTGAGAGCATGAGAAAGGAGTTGGAGAGAGGAGGAGGAGTAGGCAGGAGGAGGGTCCGGGAGGCAGAAAAGTAACAGAAAAGGAGGGGAGAGGGGAGGGGAGGAGAGGGGAGGGAAAGGCGAAGGGAGGAGAAAGGGAACAGGAGGGAAGGGGAAAGGAGAGTGGAGGAGAGAGAAGGAAAGGGAAGGGGAGGAGAGAAGGGGAGGGGAAGAGAGAAGGGGAAGAGCAGGAGAGGAGGAGAGGAGGAGAGAGGAGAGGAGAGGAGAGGTGACAGGAGGGGAGGGGAGAGAGAGGGAGACAGAAAGGAGAGGAGAGGAGAGGAGAGAGGAAAAGAGATGAAGAGAAGGAGAGGATAGGAGAGAAGAGAAGAGACTGAGCAGAGTGAAAATGAGGGACAGTTGAAAGTGAACTGGGCTGGCCAACTGAAAAAACCATTGGTGACAGCTGAGCCCGAGAAGACACTGTTAGAAGACAGAGAACACACAAAGTCACTATACGAGATTATAAACCCAAAGAATTGAGAGCAAAAAAAGCTCCATTTTTTTTAACTCACTATCTTTGTCAACAACAGCATTAGAATTAGGTATTTGACAGCTATTACTCATATAGCAGTTTCAGAGTCATATACAAAAATTATGCCTATTTTTTACTTTACCTGGACTCAGTCCAAAGCCGTCCCTGTTAATATTGATGGAACTAGTACTTGTCACTTGCTGCCACCGCCGCACCAAAAATTTCATTCTAAAAGAGCCAAACATAAAATCTCAAAGTCATAAACATGTACATCCGTAAAATCATGCCATTTAATTATGAACACAAACATTGTAGCACAGTCATATGATCTCCTCAGCCAAATGACACATACTCCACTGGCTTATGTCAATTCTCTGAGCATGGCCTCCCTTCACTCCCCAAGAGGCCAATACCAGTGTCTCTAATAAGTGGGGCAGAAGAGGGTGAAGGGCAAAAACGGACAGAAAAACAGTGGGCAAAGAGAGGATGAAGGTAATGGAGAGAGGAGGAGAGAAAGGACGTCAGGCAGAGGATAAGAGAACACGTTTCAACAGGCAGTAACAGGAGGCCAGGGAAACAGAGAGAGTGTTAGACTCTTGTGATCGGGATAAAAAATCAGTGGTGCTTTAAAAAGGAATGAAGGTGTCACTAGCTAGCAGAATTCCTTGCTGGCTGCCCATCCTGCCCTGGGCTATGGAACTTTTCGGAGTACCAGATGTAATTTCTTAATTCCAATTTCAGAGTCCAGTTTAAGGAAGGTTAAAATACCATGAGCCTGCAGCAGGGCGAAGAGAAAAGGATGAGCCAGGTACGCTGGGAAACCCTTTTACTTCCAGCACTCAGGAGGCAGAGGCAGGCAGAGCTCTGAGTTTAAGGCCAGCCTGGTCTACATAGTTGGAGAACAGCCAGAGTGACATAATGAAGCCCCATCTCAAACCATGCCTTAAAGGAGGGAGGTGAGGGCTTGATAGTAGCTTTTCTCCTTCAGGGAGCCTTCTGGACTTGTCAGCATTACAGGCTGACTCCTGTCACCTCTGAAGACCATTCTGTGTCTCTGAGGTCTGTGCATTCTACTCTCTCCCAATAGAAAGGGAGATGGCATTAGGCAGGAGTTGTCTATTAACGCATCCACTGGGCTTGCCCTGCTTTACCCTGTGCAAAGGGATGAAGGAGCTGTGGAGCTGTGGAGCTAACATGAGGACTGGAAGAGGTAGGCAGGCCAGAGCCAGCGGTAAGACAAACCCTGGCTCCAATGTAGAGCTGCCATGGCGGACCGTGGCTGAGCTCCTGCCTCGCTGCCATGGCGGATGGAGGCTGAGCTCCCGCCTGGCTGCCAAGCCTGTAGGTTGTGCTCCCCCAGCTTTCACCCCTTCCTGCCTCATCTGGGAACTGAATATTCCTTGATGATAGTCTCTGAACAGCTTCCAGGTTTTTAGTTGTCTTTGGAAAACATGGCAGAGGTTTTTAACTGGAAGCCGTTCAGACGTTACCACGTAGGGGCTGGAGAGGGCTCAGCAGCGGCTGCTCTGGCGGTGAGCCTCACTGAGTCTCAGTACCCACTTGGTACCCAGGGGATCCGACATACTCTTCCGGCCTCGGCCGGCTCCAGGCACACATGTGGTACACAGACACACACGGGCATGACACCCACACACACACACAAAGTAAAAGTTAAAAGAAGAGAAACAGTCCAGCTCTGAAGAAGTACCAGATGTCACCCGACTGGCATGACCTTTTAAAAAACAAAATTTCTTTGGTACTCTGGTTGTGTAGAGGCAAAAGGGATAGAGAAGGAGTCCAAGCCGGCCAGGGGTGTGTGTGTGGGGGTAGGGTGGGGGTGGGGGGTTAGCTGGGTCTTCTTTCTGTAGCCACTTAGCAGTACCAGTGCCAAGTGCCCAGCCTGGACTGCTAGGGAAGAGAGAGTCCAATCCCTGCTGGAGCCGACTTAGATAGACCAGGGCATTCCGCAGCTGGGCACCATGGAGTGGCTTATTTTAACAGTGAAGAAAATAAACATATATACCACACTTAGCAGTAATTTTTCAAAAACATCCATCCTTTCCCTTGTATAACCTATGTGTATGAGCTAAGCTTATCTGGATTTTTTTTGAAGGATGACATGGACTGGGACAGGAGTTAGCAGCTACTTATACCCGGAAAGTCATTTTCTAGGGTTTACCCAGAACAGAGATTCTGCTGCCAGGGGGAAAACGTGGAGAGAAATAAGTAGTGTACAGTTCTAAAGTGTCTGCTTCACATGCATCTTCTTAGTGGGCTTATGACCAAAAGGAATTTTCTTCAAGACTTTACCTTGAAATTGCAATAGACACTCTGACGGCAGAACGAAACCTGGTGAATCCCTTTGGGTGGCTGGTGATTGTCTTGGGATCTTTCAAGGCTAGGTGTCCCCCCATCCGGGCAAGAACCCCCAGGGTGACGTCTTCACACTCCTGGAATCCCCCCAGGAGCAGCAGCAGGTATTTTTTCTGATATATGAGAGCTTTCCGGAAACTTGAAGCTCTCAAGTATTTATTATAAATTTTCTACATTTAATGAAGAAAAGAACAAAGACATCAGTGAGAAGACGTTTGAGTTGTTCTACAGAGGAAGACTACCTTGAGGGAAAGGCCACATGCCAGGCTGCTGTCTTCTGGAACAGGCAAGCTGACAGGAGAGAAGCACCTTTGAAGCATAATTTCTAGTCAGAGTTGTGTTTGTACCGATTTTAGGGTTAGCCCTTTTAATCTATTTATTGCAAATATTTTTATCATCATGGATGTTTTAAAAATATTGACTTTGGAGCTGGAGAGATAGCTCAGTGGTTATGAGCACTGACTGCTCTTCCAGAGGTCCTGAGTTCAATTCCCAGCAACCACATGGTGGCTCACAACCATCAGTAATGGGATCTGATGCCCTCTTCTGAAGTGTTTGAAGAAAGCAACAGTACAGTCATATAAATAAAATAAATAAATAAATCTTTTAAAAGACATCGACTTCATTTTTTAAAATTAGTCACTCATCCATTTAACTTGTTAAGTAAGTTTTTGTGTGTCTCTGTATCCGCCCCATAGTTGTCTGTCCCTTTGTACCTACTCCATAGTTGTCTGTCTGTCCGTGTCTACTCTATACTTGTCTGTCCCTGTGTCCACTCCATAGTTGTCTGTTCCTCTGTATTCATAGTTGTCTGTCTGTCCCTCTGTGTCTATCCATAGTTGTCTGTTCCTCTGTGTCCACCCCATAGTTGTCTGTCCCTCTGTGTCTACCCCATAGTTGGACTGAATACTCCAGGGCCTTGTCTTCCTCTCCACTATGGACTTAGGCTAACTGATCAAGGCAGCTTTACCACAGCATTCATTCCCAGCATGACAGGGACACGGCCTGAGCCAGTATCTACATGTCTGTAGTCTGTTCCATTACGGCCAGCAAGAGGGATGCATAAGCATGCAAGATGTTGCCTACCTGCAAGGCAGCATGCTCAGAGTCAGGACTCAGATTCCGAAGTAAAGCATCATTTCGTAGTTCAGCTTTTAGCTTATACACTTTTGCTTCTGCCTTTTTCAAAGCTTTCTGAAGAGATAACTTTTCTCTGTTCCAGACTTCCTTTTCTGAAGCAATTATGGCTTCGATGTCAGCTGGATCAATAAATGAAAACCTAGAACACTGCAGAGACATGACCTATCAGATCATTTTCAAAAAGATGACTGAATTAAATCACAATGGATTACCTAGCCTCGGCCTTCTAGCCCCACAGGGAAGTTCACAATCACACTGTCTGGGTCTAAGTGTTCGATCTTACAGACCACTGAGACCGGGTGGGTGTGAGGGAGAGTGACTCTCAAAGTAGCCACATGAATAAGTTATCTGCTTGACTATGCAGCTGTTGTGCCAGTCTTTCCTACATTTAAATATGAGGGTAAATACAGAGACTAGCTCTTCTTTGTAGCTTTACAACAAATTTAAATTCGGAGACTACCTTATTCATTTGAAATATATAATTTAACAGCCTTTAAAAAAAAAAAGATGGAATCTCACTGGTGAAGAAACACTAATCCTTGCTAGTCAGAGATTTGGTAATGTAGACCAGATTAGCTTTGAATTCACAGAGATCGGTCTACCTCTGCACCTTAGTGCTGGGATTAAAGGCATGTATCACCCTGCCCAGATTAACAGCATCTTTCACTTGGTCATACACCTAGTAACTAGCAACTGAAGAGAACAATAATCAGTATCTATGATCATCATTTTTAATGTATCTATGTTCAGGCAACACATATATGTTTATGTCTTAGATTGATTTGACCTGGTTTTTTCCTGTAGAAGCTGAATGCAGATGGACCATTCTGTACGTATAGAACCCACAATGTGGTAGAGACCGCCCCCAGTCATAGGTATTTGTATTACTATTGTCATCATATGTATTATTTTCTACATAGTCTAATAAGCTTTGTACATGATATTTTTAGACTATGGTAAAAGGTCAAGCTACAGAGAATTTCCTAACTTTGAATCATGTCTAAAAGCAGACGTACACAGTCTCTGCTGGCCCCTGTGTGCCAGTAACACCGGTTCAGTTCCTCCAGCTTTAGGACTATACTCCGTAAGGTGTTCTTTTCTTCTGTCAGTTGGTTAATAAGTCTTGTTAGCTCAGTATTTTGTCTCATTAGGCTTTCGGTTAAGGAGCCACAAGAAGAACTGGGGGGTCCTAAGCTGTGCTGGAAAAACAATGGAACAAGGTTATATAGACACAGACACACAGACACAGACACACACACACAGACACACACACACACACACACACACACACGAGTAACTACTATAAAACAGGTGCTGACATGGATTCCATGAACTGGTACTTGGTAATAGTAAGAGCGTGCCAAGCAGGCAAACAGCTAGGGAGGGCACAGGAAGGAGGACAGGCACACCCAGGAGGACGGAGGCTCAGGCAAGAGTGTGCTACTTTGAGGGAACTAACAGTGCTTTGTTAGACTAAATGTCAGACCTAAGCATGGCAACAGAGCCAAGGAGAATTTAGGGGGTGCCACCACAAACAAAACTGACATGTTTACAAACATTCCTCTGACAGCAGTGTACAAGGCCGAGCAGCTTAGGGAAAGATACGTGACCACAGCACCTGGCAGTTTGGTTAGAAAGTTGTGACGGTTTACACAGGAAATAGGGAGGCAGGGACAGAGAGTAAATGGCACATGAATGGACATTTACATGGCCTGTGTCTGCTCATACATACAGGGAAGGGTGAAGAAACACAGTCTATGGTGACTCCCAGCTTTCCAAACTGAGTGACAACCAGAAAGAGGAATGAGGGACGGAGGGGAAGAGAAGACAAAGTTCAGATTGAATGTGTGTGTGAGGCTCCTGAGGGGTCACCACTGGAGAGTTTTCCCAAAGATGTCCAGTAGCTCACTGGACACACTCCTGCACGGGTCACAGGGCTACAACAGAACTGCTGCAGCACAAGGGCAAAACCCTGGTCACTTTGTTCACGGAATCCCAGGACCTTGAGCAGTACCTGGGACAGGTACTCCTTGCTCACCAAGGCCAGGAGAGTCATGCCGTGGGAAACGGGAAGTTTCACAGTTGTAGCTAAGAGAAAAGCAAGACTAAGAGTAAGAAGCAAGAGGAAGGACAGACAGGCCTAGCTGACAGCAGGGTAAGTGACAGCAGAAACATAGAAGGAAGGAAAACAGGATTTAAGAAAGTGAAGTACAGCTGGGCTTTTAATCCCAATGCTCAGGAGGCAGGGGCAACCTGAACTCTGTGAGCTTGAAGGCACCCTGGTCTATACAGCCGGTTCCAGGACAGTCAGGGCCACACAGAGAGACCCTGTCTCAAATAGCCAAAAAGATAAAAAAAAAAAGAGCCAAAAGAGTGTCAAATGTACAAAGCCACAAAGAGGGAGTGAAAAGCTCCACAGAACAGTCAACTGTGAAGAAAGATGCCAGCAGGGCTCTGAGCTCATGGGAGGTAGGACAGGGAAGCCAGGTTCCCCTCTCAAGAAGCCTTGACTGTGTAAGAGACTAATTATATAACAACAATAATGAATGTGAATCCCCCTCAACACTCAATACCTCTTGGGGGGAAGAGAGGCACTGTATTTCAAATAAAAAACAAACAAAAACTTTTACCAAACAGTTTGCTAATTTTCAAACCATTTGTAATGTATTTGATCTTTGTTCCCTCAAAAGTCTTACCTCATCACTTGGCTGGCCAGTTAGTTTCTGTAATTGCAAAATAATTCCATCAATAGTCTCCTGAATCCAAATAAATGCATCATCACTTGCTGTTTCAAACTGTAGCCTTTAAGAAAAAGACAAAAAGTGAAAACGGACCTCCCAGTGACACTTCCTACGCACATTTAGGCTTAGGGCTGCCCTGTTTCACTAACACACACCAGCAGCTAGAGGTCATCTATCACTTGACTTTTCTGTTTCAAGGGGTTGCTGTTTTCAGATGGGTAATTTCTGCTACAGAATAACATCTAATATAGACACACATTATCTTTAAAACATCTCTCCCTTGGTAGACATGTGGTGTTGTGTGCCTTTCCTCCTACAAAGCAGAGGCAGGCAGATTTCTCTGCATGTTTGAGGCCAGCCTGGTCTACAGAGTAACTCTTGGTCACCTAGGGCTACACAGTAAGACCTTGCCTCAACAAAACAAAACAAAACTCCATCATTTTGTCACTCTTGGCTTATCTGTCAAGGGTGTCATTTGTACCCCACAGGAGGAAGTCTAACCTGCTGCAGGCTTTCTGTGCTACATGCTGAAGCTTTGAAGCCACATGCTGAAGTGTCTGTCTGACCATTTCCAAGTCATGATTCTGGTCAAGTTCTCCTCCGTTTATTTCAGTCAGCTTTGTGAAGTTCGTGTCTTTGGTCTCTCCCATCTTCTGTTGAAGAACCCAATTTCTAGTCCGATCATCAGTGAAGTTCCAGGTGGCTGGCTGACAATTTCAGACAGAGAAAGAAAACACTCACAAGTGACCAGCATTTCATGTTCTTTCTCTATGGAACAAAATGACCACCCACGCTCCAGATAAAGTTCTAGAGACACCATTTTGGGATGAATTGAACATAACTATTTAAGTAACTCAATGACAGTATTTGAAGTTTAAAAATATTTTAAAATATTAAGAGTATTTAAAAATATTAAAATTACTCATAACTTTAAAAAAAACTTATCATTGTGTGTGTGCATAAAAGTGTGAGTGTACCAATGCCACAGGGTGCATTTGGATGTCAGAGGGCAGCTTTGCAGAACTGACTCTCCTCCTTAACATGGGTTTAAGACTGGACTCAGGCCTACAGATCTAACCTACTGCGTCATAGAGCCATAAATACTGCCTCAGAAATACTGTAAAGGAAACAAAACTTAATACCACCTCATAAACACTGTAAAAGCAACAAAAACATACCTCATTAAGATTATGATGCACAAGTCCTCTACTCCCTCGTTTCTCCTCGGGTTCCAGCTCCTGCTTTTGGAATTCCTGCATGATCCCTTGCAGCCGCTTCCCCTCCAGGTCCAGCCTGTACACTTGCTGCCTTTTCTCCTGGAGCTGGCGCTGCAGTTCTTCCACTTTGCATTGCAGCTCCTGCATCTTCTTCTGGCCCTGGGTGTTTGCCTCCTGCTCTGTCTGCAGTGTCTTCTGATGGACCTGCCTGTCCTTTTCCATTTGTTGCCTTGTTTGCAAGGAATCTAGTTTATATTTTTCAGTTTCACTTAAGAGTTCTACTATGCGGCTGTGCTTTTCCTCCAGTTGTTTCTGTAGCTCTTTAAGTAGGTCCTCAGAGGGCAAGGCTGGCGGGGGCTGCCCGCCATCATCACGGTTCTGCAGCTGGGCATACAGTTCCCGCTCCTTGTCTAGGGTGCTCTTCATCTCCTGAATCCTAACTTGCTCTGATTCCAGTAGAGCTTGAAGCCCTAAATTGCGGCCTTGTTCTTCCGATAACTGGGCATCATGCAACATTTTCTGTGACTCTATTTTCTGTTGAGATTCATTTAGTAGCTGCTTCTGTTGTTCCAAAAGGAGGTTTAACTGTGTATTTCTCTGCTTCTGATCCTCAAGGGAAAATTTCAGATCCTTGAAGTGAAAATGTAATTTAAGATGAACACATTAATATTAAAAATACTTTTAAAGTATATGACCATGACTTTGGTAATAGCAACATGGAAGCATTTGGTAACTGAAGACAGAATTGTTATCCAGTAGATAGTGGTAATTATTAAGATAGCCAAATGGCTTGCTTACATCAAGGATATAAACACAATCTTCTCTGGCTAAATATAAGGCAGAATATATTTTTCCAAATAACAACCTTCAAAATACATGTGTTCTTATGCTACCTTTTCAATTTATTAAAGGAATATATTTTTAACATTTCTAAAAACTTATACAAAGGCACAAGAAAACAATGTTCCACAGTGTCATGATAAGCAAAGAATAACCATGGCACAGGGAAGGAAGCCATCTTTAGAGAGGGAAGAGAGGTCATGGAATGAACATGAAATTAAAACACAAAGGCGTTGTTTGTGGGGAGGAAAGGGACAGCTGGACGGTGACCTGGGACGATGAGAAGGCAATGAGGAGGGGAATGAAGCAGAACAAAGAATGATACACGTTAGTCCAACTACACTTGTTGAAGATGCTTTCTTTTGTCCCATGTATAGTTTTGGCTTTGCTGTCAAAGCTCAAGTGTCCATAGGAGTGTGGGTTTACTTCTGGGTCTCCAATTCCATTGATCAACCTGTCTGTTTTTATACTAATACCACACGGCTTTTATTACTATAGCTCTGTAGTAGAGCTTGAAATCAGGTACAGTGATACTTCCACAAGTTCTTTTATCATACACGATTGTTTTAGTTACTCTGGGTCTGTTGTCTTTCCATATTAAGTTGAGAACTGCTCTTTCAAGGTCTGTAAAGAATTGAGTTGGAATTTTGATGGGAATTGCATTGAATCTGTAAATTGCTTTTGGTAAGGTGGCCATTTTTACTACATTAATCCTAACAATCCATGAGCATGGGAGATCTTTCCATCTTCTGAAACTCCCTCAATTTCTTTCTTTAGAGACTGGAAGTTCTTGTCATATAGGGCTTTCACTTGCTTGGTTAGAGTTATACCAAGATATTTTAAATTATTTGTGGCTATTGTGAAAGGTGTTGTTTCCCTAATTTTTTTCAGCATGTTTATCATTCATATATAGGATGGCTACTGATTTTCTTTTTTAGTTCATTTTTTATCCAGCCACATCATTGAAGGTATTTATCAGCTGTAGGAGTTCCCTGGTAGAATTTTTGGGGTCACTTACATATACTAATATATTGCCTGCAAATATAGCAATACTTTGACCTCTTGCTTTTCAATTTGTATCCTCTTGATCTCCTTTAGTAGTCTTATGGCTCTAGCTAAAACTTCAAGTACTGTATTGAATAGATATGGAAAGAGTGAACAGGCTTGTCTTGTTGCTTTAAGTTTCTCTCTGTTTAATTTGATGTTGACTATCAGCTTGCTGTATACTGCCTTTTTTTTTGTGTTTAGGTATGCCCCTTGTATGCCTGATCTCTCCAAGACTTTAAGAATGTAAATAGATCCATATCTATCACTCTGCACAAAACCCAAGTTCAAGTGGATCAAAGACCTCAACATACACCTGGACACTAAATCTCACAGAAGAGAAAGTGAGGAATTGCCTTGAATGCATTGGCACAAGAGATAACTTCCTGAACAATACACCAATGGCTCTAAGATCAATAATTGATAAATAGGACCTCATGAAACTGCAAAGCTTCTGTAAGGCAAAAGACAGTGTTAAAGGAACAAAACAGCAGCTTATAGAATAGGAAAAGATCTTAACCAACCCTACATCTGACAGAAGGCTAATATCCAAAATATATAAAGAACTCAAGAAACTAGACATCAACAAACCAAATAATCCAGTTGAAAAAAATAGGTACAAATATAAACACAGATTTCTCAACAGAGGAATCGCTAATGGAAGAGAAGCATTTAAAGAAATGTTCAACATTATTAAGTCACCAAGGAAATCCAAATTAAAAGGACTCTAGGATTCCATTGTACACCTGCCAGAATGGCCAAGAACAAAACAGAAAGTGACAGCACTGCTGGCAAGGATGTGGAATGAAAAGAACACTCCTCCACTGCAGGTGGGACTGTAAACTTCTACAACTCTGGAAATAAATCTGGTGATTCCTCAGAAAACTGGGAATAGTTCTACCTCAAGACCTAGCTATACCACTCCTGGGCATATACCCAAAAGATGCTCCTCCATACTACAAGGACACTTGCTAAATTATGTTTATAGCAGCTTTATTCATAATAGTGAAATACTGGCACAACCTAGATGTCCCTCAACTGAAGAACAGATAAAGAAAATGTGGTTCATTTACACAATGGAATACTATTCAGCTATTAAAAACAAGGACATCATGGAATTTGTAGGCAATGGACAGAACTATAAAATATGATCCCAAGTGAGGTAACTCAGACCCAAAAGGATAAACATGATATGTACTCACATATAAGTGGATATTAGCCACAAAGTATAGGATAACCATGCTACAATCCACAGACTCAAAGAAGCTAAGTAACAAGGAGGGCCCAAAGGAGGACGCTTGAATCTCACTGAGAAGAGGAAATAGAATAGACATCAAGGGTGTTTGGAGGAAAGGAACTGGGTGGGGAGGGGGTAAGGAGGGGAGCAGGAGGGATCAAGTAGGAGGAGACAGAGGGCGAGAGTACTGGGAGAGAACTGCCATCAGTGACAGGAGGTGTGCATCAGTGGGAAAAGCTAGAAACCTAGGGCAGTGGAATCTATGAGGGTGACCCTAGCTACAACTCCTGGCAATGGGTGATAAGGAAACTGAAATGGCCATCTTCTCTAACCAGGCAAGACATCCAATAGAAGCATTGGGACACGAACCCAACCACAAAATATTTCATCCACGATTTGTCCCACCAACAAGATGTGCAGGTAAGAATGGAACAGAAATTTAGGGAAGGGCCAACCAATGACTGTCCCAGCTTGAGAACCATGCCATGAGAGAGAGTCCACCCCTGATACGAGTAATGAGACTGCTCTACTAGCCAACAGGAGCCTAGCTGAACTGTCAGCTGATTAAGTGGAGCTTGGGGAATCCTGTGGAAGAGGAAGAGAAAGGATTGAAGGACCCAGAGAGGTCAAGGATACCACAGGAAAACCTACGGAACCAACTAAAGTAGGCCCATAGGGGCTCACAGAGACGGAACTGCCAAACAGAGAACATGCATGGCATTGACCTAGTCCCCTACACATATATAACAGATGTATAGCTTGGTTCTCATGTAGGAATACTAACACCAGGATCAGGGGCTGTCTCTGTGTTGCCTGCCTTTGGATCCCTTTCCCCTAACAGGGTTGCTTTGTCTAACCACAATAGAAGAAGACGCACCTAGTCATACTCCAACATGATGTGCCTAGGATGGTGGATATCCATGGGAGGCCTCCCCTGTTCTGAGGAGGAAGAGAGGATAGGGAGTAGGTGAAGTGGGAAGAAATAAATGGGAGAGGAGGGAGGGGAAGCAGTGATCAGGATGTAAAGTAAATTAATATAAAAAAGGAAGAAAAAGAATAATACATTTATGCAATAACATGATGAAATCTATTATTTAAAAGGTAGGGGTTGAAAAAGAAGTGAACAAACAATAGTAAGATTTGGCTGCAAAACTATGACAATTCTTGCTTCTGCAATGGAGACTCCTGGTAGGATGTGATAGATCCTGTCTCAGGTTTTTCAAAAGAAGAACACTGATACAAAATAGCCAGATACCCACAATGAGCAAACTTTGCTCTATGCATGTAATCATTAAAAATGTTGCTAGGTTGGCTGAAGAGATGGCTTACTGGTGAAGAATACTGGCTGTTCTTCCAGACAGCCTGGGCTCAATTCCCAGCACCAACATGACAGCTCACCAATGGCTGCAAGTCCAGTTCCAGGGCATCCAATGCCATCCCCCTGCCTTCATTAATGCATGCACACACACAGTGCACAGATACAAAGCAGGCGAAACACTCATATACTAAAATAAAAACAAATGAGTCTTAAAAAAATAAAAAACAGAACAAAAAACTATTGGGCTTGGTGGCACATGCGTGTAATCCCGACTACTCGGGAGGGTGAGAGAGGAGAATCAGGAGTCTAAGAGAGTTCAAGAGAACCTGTCTCAGCTACAGTGTAGGAAAACGTGAGATGGAGGTAAGGTCGGGTGGTTAAGTGCCTGCCTAGCATACGAGACGTGAGAGTTTAACCCAGAACACCGCGAAAACAAGACAAGGTACAGACTGACTACCTGGGAAACACAGCACTCATCTGTCTCCATGAGTATCTGTGGCTGTAGGCAGTGTGTGTGTGGGGGGGGGGAGGTAGTTTTGAGGGGATAGAAAGGCAAAGGAAGATAACAATAAACTATACAGAGAACAGATCAAATCCAGATGTAGTGATCCTCAGATTTTAAACGTACCCTAACATAGGGTATTAATCGAAACAGCAGGGCAGGAGGAGCGTCTATCCCAGTGGACTACAAGCAAAGACAACCGGCAAGCCTGTGGGAGCTTCACAGGCCCACAAGCCAGCACGGAGAAAAGATGAGAGCAGAGAGAAGAACTGCTGAGGAAGGGGCCTTGCAATCCCTGGCGCCGCGGAGGGAATGATTTTAGGGACGGAAACACAGTATTTCAACATGAACTCTTCCTTCTATGGCCTAGATAATTTTCTAACAGTATTCAACACAGAGCCAACAGTGTATACATTTTAAAGGAGAAGAGCCTTACAACAAGATTCTCAGAATACGTGGGACAATACCTCGAGTTCTTCTTTTTCCCACTCCTCATGGTGTCCTGACTTGGCCTTTTCTTTTTCCAAAGCCCACTGCAGTTCCAGTGACTTCTTCTGCTCCCTTGCTAAAGTATCACTAAGGAAATGGATTTCATCGGTCTTCTCTTTAATTTCTGACCTAAATGGGGAGAGACACAAATGTGACATTATCTTGATGAGCAATGTTGTCATAAAGAGGAACTTGTTCTCCAATACAGAGGTATATTATAAACTAGCTATGATACGTCAAGTCAAGGCTTCTGGACTGGTCCATTTCAGATGACCTACTGTCTCTAATAGTGTAATTTTACTGCCATAAAGAGAATACTAAGTAACTTTTTTTTCTTTTACTGCATACAGAAATCATGTGAACGTGTGTGTGCGTGTGAAATCAATGTCTAAAATAAGAACGTGTGGACTTGCAGCATGCCTCTAGCAGGCAGGATACTTCAGTATCCACTCCAGTGATGCATCCTTTGCCTATGCATTCCTGATTCCCACACCTGGCAGATACTAGTCAACTCAAGCTAGAGATCAAACATCACTCAAAGCTAGTCTGTTGTGAGAGAGAAGCAAGAATTAGATCTAATAACTGTGGACTGGACAGAAGTCATAGCACAGGGAGTCACAGCAGAGCGTCGGCCAAGCGATCACATTTTAAATGTGGAAACATCAGGGGGGTTTCTTCTGCACCCATTCTTCTGCTGTTTAAACTTAGTGTGCTGCTATCTGCATAATGGTTATGACACACTGGTACAATTTCTCCGCTGACCCTTAAACGAAAGCAGCTCAGCACACCTGAAAGCTTCTAATTCCTTTAAGCGCTTATGCTGGGCCTTGAGTGTTGTTCCCAATTCCAGTTTTGCCTGTGCAAGTTCACTTTTTAGTTCTGCCACCACCATCTTTTCTGAACTCAGCTGCTCCTGCAGCTCGGTTGCTCTGTCTCTCAGGCTGCTGAGTTCCAGCTGCAGCTCCAGTACGTGGGGCTGCTTCTGCTGCATGCTGCAGTCCAGGAGTTCTATAAAGAAGCAATACTAGAGTTAAAAGACAGCTTGGCAGCTCTTGTGTGATTAGTATTTTACTACAAAGACATCGTCAACTGCTCCCAGTCCCCCAAACTGACAATATATATATACTTCTCAGAGTGCTAGAGGCCAATGCTTCAGAAGTTAAAAAAACAAGGGAGGGACAAAAATGTATCAATGCACTAACAGATGCAAGACTTCAAATAATCACCTGTAGATGCTCATAAGGTATTTGAGATAGGAACTTGTATATTTGTATATGTGGAATGCCAACCATTCACACTAAAAATTCCTCGTAATTTCTGATAGCCCTACACTCAATATTTACAGAAGTTACCCACAGGACAATACTACAGTGATCTAATTTTTATTAGTTTCTTTTAGAGAAGGTTTTACCCTGTAAGCCTGCACAGACAGACTCGTCTGGAATTATCAGCCACCCTCCTGCTTCAGTGCCCTACATCCTGGACCACAGATGTGAGGCACCACCCCCAGCTCTGACTCAGCTTTTCTAAATGAGAACCTATGTGGTGACTTCAAGCTTGTGCTGAAACCCAATTACTAAAGATGTAGCAAGTGTCCTTGGCAGGCACGATCAATACTCCTCTCCGAGTAGCCCCGTTAAAACATGCCACTACTGAGAAGCAGGAAAAGCATCCCTAAGCCCACACAGATGGACAACGCAGCTAGTCTACTATGATGAGAAAGGGGATAAATCACTCCATCTAAGTTCAATTAAAACACTCTCACATATGCACAGCATACCCAAGAGAAAGGCAGCATGTCTGACAACAGCAGCTGTGGGCAAAGATGTAAGCAACAGAACACTGAACCCCATTAGTGAATGGCACACTGGTATGATCACTTTTTCAAATAGTTTGGGCCAGGCATGGTAGTGCACCTCTGTCACCCCCACTGGGAAGGCTACAGACAGGAGGACAAGGAGCTCACAACCCCCCTTGCTACATAAAGCTTGAGGCCAGCTGGGATAGATGATACCCTCTCAAAAATAAGTACACCGTCTGGCACTCTCTAATAAATTTGAGGTTACACATCCCATGACAGAGTGACTCCCTTCCTTGGAAGCTGGGAACACTGATGTCCAGATGTACTGGAAACTCTGTAGAGGAAGGGTCTTAGTTGCTCGGACTCCAACAGCTAACAGCAGAAACAACCAAAGGTTAAGACACAGAATTTGCCCACACAATTGTGGAGAGAACTGTCCACAGCAACAAAAGCTAATGCAGAGATATTTGCAGAAACTTGGAAGAACGTCATGTGAGGTGAAGTAACAAGATACAAAATATACACATTTTATAATTTGGTATAGTGTGTATCTGAGGTTTGTAAGTTACTGTATGGATGTTACACATTACAATTTTGTAAACAAAAATTAAAAATAAACAGCCACTTTTATTGTGGATCCCCTTATATTTTAGATAGATGTCTTAAGAGAGCCAAAAAGACTTCTCAGTGAAGAATATAAAACTGATGAACTGAACCATATCAATGTAATACCTGTTTATTTTAAATTAAATATAGCTTTTTAAACCTACCTGACAACCACTAACCCTAATAGTGTTTGTTTGTTTGTTTGTTTGTTTGTTTATTATTGGATACTTTATATATCTACATTTCAGATGTCATCCCCTTTCCCCATCTCCCCCAGAAACTCCTTAACCCATTCTCCCTCCTCCTATTTCTATGAGGGTGTTCCCTTTCCCATCCACCTACTTCCACCTCCCTGCCCTCGAATTCCCCCTCATCGGGGCATCCAGCCTTCATGGGACCAAGGACCTCCTCTCCCACATATGCCTGACACTGCCATCCTCCATTACATACACAGCTGGAGCCATGGGTCCCTCCATGTGTTTTCCCAGGCTAGCTGTTTAGACCCTGGGAGCTCTGGTTGGTTGGTATTGCTCTCCCCATGGGGCTGCAAGCCCTTTCAGCTCCTTCAGACTTCTCTCTAACTCCTCCACTGGGGACCCTGTGACCAGTTCAAAGGCAGAGTAACAACCATTTTCATGTTAGGAGAATGAGCAGAGAAGGAGCCTGAGCAGAAATACTTCAGAAGACAACAAGTGAGCGTTTTCGGCTAAGAGATCAAAGGAGCTGCATGCACACACCTTGGCTGGCTTTCTCAGATTCTTCTTCTCTTTCCAGAATCATTTTCCTGCCATTAATTTGAGCACGAAGATCTTCTATTTCTGCCAGTAAACTCCTCCTATCTGCTTTCTGCAGACAGTCCATTGCTGTTTGATATTCAATACCCTGTCAAAGGACAATGAAAAATTAAGTAAAGAGAGGCATAGATGGAATTAGTGACCAGAATCTGAAGGAGAAAGAATAGCACACACATGCTACTTTATTTTTTTCATTAACATTTTTCACAATTCTTCTTGTCCAGAAAAAAATCTGTGAGGGTTTGTTGTAGACAGATGGACTTTTATTTCTAAATATTGCTGTGCATTTCCTAGAAATCGGAACGTTCTTGTTTTATTATTTCTTCACTTGTTCTGTGTGTCTGTGTACATTCATGTGCTCCACAGTGGGTCTGTGGGAGAGGACAATCTGTGAGACTTGCTTCTCTCTTCCCACAATGGAGGCTCCAGTGATGGAACTGAGGTCGTAGCTTGGCAGCAAGTATCATTACCTGCTGAGCCATCTCTCTGGCTCAGGAACATCCGACATAGGCACAATATTCTTATCAAAAGCAATTAACATTACTATGTCATCTAAGGTAGAGAATTTAAATTTTCACCCAGTGTCCTTTATAGGAAAATGAAAGTAGTACTAGTAAGTCTTCTGGGACCTTGAAATGTCTGCAGAGCACAGGCTAATTTGGCCTATCATCAGTTAAAACAAAACAACACACTCCCAATCCTTATTTTGTATTAACTGAAGCCAAAGCTCTTGTATCCCCTCAGCTAGCCTCCTCCCAGGATGATGTGCGACACAAGTGGAAACAGCACACGGGTAAAAGGAGGAAGCTGACAGTGTTATCTGAACTGTAGGCTTATTTAAAAGTCACTGATTTTATATGCATGTTGCTCTCTTGCTATCTTGCGGTATGAAATTTCACCTCCTGTACTGAGGTTCAGTTCATGCACCATAGTGAGAACTACTTCAGCAGATTCTTCTGAAGTCACAGCTTCGCCCAGCCTCAGCTCCTGGGAAGAAGTCACTTGTTCTCCATCAGTGTAACTTTATCATTTTAAGACTTTCTATAGCAGATAGGATAGAAGACATCTACAGCTTGTTCCTTTTTAACCTACTGAGCTGTTTTACTAATTATCTCTCTATCTATCTATCTATCTATCTATCTATCTATCTATCTATCTATCTATCTATTTATCTATCTATCTTCCTGTATTTCTTTAAAAGTAGTTTTATATACATGTGTGTGGTTATCTGAGCTTATGAACCCACAAGCATGTACAATCTTGAAAAGCCAGAGAGAGCACTGGATCCCCAAAACTGTAATTACAAACATGTGAGACGTCACATTGGGAATTGAAATTGGGTCCTCTGGAAGAGCAGCCAGGACTCTTAGCTCTTAACTATCTCTCTAGCCTCTACTGAGCTGTAACTCATTTACAGGTATACCACAGTTGATTCATTTCCCATTGGAGAACAAATGAGCTGTTTCTAATTTGGGAGCAATTAAAAATAAAACTTACAAATATTCATGCACAGCTTTTCTTTGATATCACTGCTTTGCCTGCATGTATGTATGTGCATGTGTGTATCTGGTGCCCACAGAAATTGGTGGAAGAGAGCACTAGGTCCCCTGGACCTGGAATTCCCATGGCTGGTGAACCACCACATAGGTGCTTGGAATCAAACCAGTGTCCTCTGCATGAGCTACAAGGGCTCTTGCTTGCTGAGCTGTCTCTCCAGCCCAGGTATAGATTATTAAAAGGACTGAGGTTTTCATTTCTGTGACAATTGTGGTGTGAGTGACAGCGAGGCCAGAGTTGCTTTCCTGTGGCACTCTTCCTGTAGTGTGACCCTGTGGGTCACAATGCAGTTGCTCTGCATCTCTGCCTGTCCTGTCACCGTCTCTGCTCTTCTGCTGCCTCCTCTAGTAAACGAATGATAGTCTGATCTCCCTCTTCCCAAGAGTAAATCCCTGTCATGCATTTAATAGAAGCACAAAGAAGCGGTGTGTCCTTCAGGTCAGCTTTTAGCTGGCATCACTGCTACACTACTGACTGCTTGAGCTGTCTGCAAGGATGCTCCACGGAGAGTTACTATCAATGAAAGTATCTTCCTGAGGTAAAAATCATTTAACATCTTTCCATAAGAACTATAGCATCTACCACTGTTATTACTTAATAAAATAAGTCATGTTTAATAAAAGGTGAATCCTTAATGACATAGCCCTTGGAGAACATTCACAGGAGGCACTCTACTGTGATATTTTAATTTATCTGTTCATGAATACGACCTTATGAATCTTTTTCACTCTGCTTCATTATCTTTTACTATCTTTTAGTTTAGGTGTTTTTGGGGGGAGCAGGCTGGGGGATGTGTGTGTATAGTGTCTCCCCAGGAAAAGTTTTGTCACAAAACACCAGGCCTTGAACTCAGAGATCTGCCAGCCTCTACCTCCTAAGTGTTGGAATTAAAGACATGTGCTATCTCACTCAGTTAGTTTGATATTTAAATTTTCTAAAATTTTGGCCAGTGCTAAAGCTTCAGGTTGGCCTTTTGAGCTTTTTACACATTCTCTTTATTCTGTGATTAGTTTTTTACAAGTCAGTGAAGAGAGAATCCAGGAGAGCCCAGGCTTTACCTCAATACCTCCCATGCTCCGGCCCTAGAACTCCGAGTCTCCAAAAACCCACACCTCCTTTAAAGGGAGAATTGTATTCAAAAGCCAAGACCTGGGCACACTAACACCAAGACATTTTTAATTATTGGTTTACTATAGAGGTCTTCTAAAGCTTTCTTCCTGGTTTTCCCCCAAACACTGGGGAATTAAAACAGACTTACACATGCTAGGCAAGAAGTCTATCACTTAGCTACATCCCAGCCTTAAAACCCCTTAGGTGAAAAGATGAAGTTCTACTACAAACTTGTGATCCTCCAGTCAACCTCCTGAGAGGCTGGGGTCACAGCTGAGCCATAATGACAGATGCTCTTAAATAACGTTTCTTTTTTCCTTTTGGTTTTTCAAGACTAGGTTTCTCTGTGTCCTGGAACTTGCCCTGTAGAACAGACTGGCCTCAAACTTAGGAGATTTGCCTGCCTCTGCCTCCCTTGGTAGGATTAAAGGTATGTACCACTGTCTTGAATGAGTTTGATACACTTTTTTAAAAAGAAAAATTATTAATTCTGTGATTTTAAATGAAATGACAGATACTTACAATATTTTATTTTTCAACTTTTATGGGTGTGTGGTGTATGTATGGTGTATGTTAACACCCATGCTTAATTTACATCGTTCTAGGCCATGTTCAACAGTAATAAAACAGTAATATACAGATGATTGGACAACTGTAAATAAACCTGCTGCTGTGGTATGAATGTGGAATAATCTTCATAAGCTCACGTGTTGAGCACTTTGTTTCCGAATGGAGCAGATCAAATCTGGGAAGGTTCTGGAAATCTTAAGAGTGAGGGGCTTCACTGGAGGAAGAAGGACCCTTGGGCAAGTGTTTGTAGGTTATACTTGGTCCTTAGCCCCTTACTCTTTCTCTGCCACTTGCTCCTGGTACCATGACAAAAGCCAGAGTTCATGAAGACAAAGAGTACACACTGAAACCCCTGAGTCAGGGTATATGTAAACTGTTCTGTATGTAAACCCTTCTGTATGTAAACTGTTCACGTCATATACTCAGTTCAGCAATAGCAAGTCTAATGGATACAACCACACAGAAAACAAGATTATACCTAACTAGCCAATGAAAATGTGACCAGAAGATTTTCTCTAGGGCCAACAGAGCAACTTTATCTTTCTAGTTTCTTTGGGTTTGTCCTATTCCTCATTTTTTAACTTCCTACATTTGGCTATTATCTCATTAATTTTCAGTGTTTCTTACTTGTGATGTAAGGTAAAACATCTAAATAGCTCTCTTCTATATATTCTTACAGTGGTTTCTGTTAAATGCTAACCTTCATGTTTAAATCAAGACTCTAAAGAAAATCAATAATCCACTTTTTCTCACTGTTCAAAAAAGATTCTTTAAAATAGTTTTGTTTTGATACCTGATCTTGTATTCTCTGTTCCAAAGAGTTTAATAATCCATCCGCATCTCTAGTGCTGAGAGACGTCAACTCAGTTTGGAACGTAGCTAGTAAAACACTACGTTCCTTTACAAAAACACGCTGACAGGCACGTAGGAGTTCACCTCGCCAGTCTGAGAAGCTGTCATGAGACTGACAACTGTCACAGACCTGTGAAGGGCAAACGGAAAAAGTCAGTCTTCGAATAAGCACACTTTACATATATTCCAGAAGTACTAGTCTACTAACAAAGATATATTTTTCAAAAGTTCAAGAGAATATATTTTTTCATGTGTGAAAAGATAAAAACTAATTCACATGAAGCATATGTAAAAAGACAATTTACTCTTTAAGATGTATTATTGTCATTAAGGAAATGTACAGCTATCTAGAAGACAAATATTTGAATACCTCAGTTTCTCTTTGCACTTGCATTTTAGAAATTAAATCTTTAAGAGATGAGATGGTATTCAGGTAAGCTTGTCTCTCTTTCAGCCAAGATTCTGAAAGCTGCTGAACGGAATGGTCTTCTCCATCATCACAGAGGGGGTTTGAGAGAGAAAGCACCTGCATGCCCTCACTGTGAACAGCTTTCATTAATCCCTAGAAAATAAGGTATTAAAGGCAAATGACTTCAAAGGCTGACAAATAAGACATACGAAATGAAGAAAGCAGCTTCATCAACCCCAGCGGATCAGAAAGGCCACTGTAGACAGAGATCTGATTCAAACCTTTCCTGCTTCCTATGATGCGGTGAGTCAGTCCTAGTGCTATCAATGTCTAAGTGTCAATGGCACGTCTAAGGTCCCTCCTCTGTTTGACTAACATAGTTCAAGACTTAGTGATTAGTCACCGACTTGACCAAAAGATATAATGTGGGAAATACCCTGTACCTTGAGACTGCTTTCATACCCTAGTCAGCAAAAAATGGGAAATGAAATGGGTGTGAAAATTCTTCATACATACAATTTTAAACATATATACTGTGGGACACTGCTGCATGAGAGAGAATGACTCTTGGTGTCATCTAAGAGTGAGCCAGTTCCCCTAAGGAAGGACTATCCACTCTATTATTGAACAGCACACAAACTGTGGGTTATAAACAAGGACCTTTGTCTTAAACCTTTTACAAGGGAAGAAGCTGATTTTCTAACCTCATGGGCCCTAACAGATGCACTGGCCGAAGCTCACATTAGTTCCTGTGGGTCACTCACTGCTTCCAGCATCTTCGCTTCCAGCAGAGATCATCACCACACACCTCACACACACAGTCTCAGTCAGGGTCAGAGTGGGGTCACAAGGGAGAAACAGGGAACACGGTTTAAAACTACACACTTAGCTTAGCGTGTAAATGTTGATTACGTGGCTATCTAAGGTACAGTAATGGTGACTGGCGCAGAGACGACAGTGCCTGAGCTAACTCAGGGGTTTTGTCTCCAGTACCTTTATTTTCTTTGGAAATAAATCTGCTGAAGTTTCCCCTCCTTCTCGGTCTTCTAATGATGTATCAAATCCCTGGCCCTGACCCCAGTCTGATTCAGAATCTAAAATTAAGAAAATAAACACCCGTCATTACATATGTGCATACAAAATAACACTTTTTAAACACTATTCCATTTGTTTAAACATTCCAGAATTTTACTCAACTTACCGCTGGAATATACTTCTCTACTTTGATAAGCAACAGAATCTGCCAATTCAGGAATGGAGGATCCCTAGTTAAAGAAGACAAAATCAGAATACACATGACTTTAAACTTTATTTAGTAAAATATTGGATCCAATGAATAACTAGTTTCTAATACAGTTAAGGGAGAAATAAAGACATCAATTTATTCTGTCATACTGAAATAACACACATATAACAAGTATCACAAATAGGCTCCAAAACCACATGGGAATTTCCTTATCTAACTATACAACAGGAAGATGCCAAATTGTGGTAATATTATGAAAAGGGGTATTATCATTGGATCCTTTTGAGTCGTTTCTCTTAAAAGCTTATACTGTTGGAAGGCAAATGGCAGGATGTAGAGAGCACATTATATGAGGACCAGATACCTCTTTGCATCTTAGACACTGGGTCATCTCCTTCAGGGTCTCGCACTCCTTAGTCAGTAACTGGATCGCAACAGAATGTTCTTTCTTCAAAGACTCGGTTTCGGAAATATGTCTGGACTCCATATCCAAAATCTCAGCAGCATGCAGCTCTTGTATGTGTTCCATTTTTTTAGTAAATTGACTGATGGTATCTCTGACTTCTTCTTGGGAGCACTCGCTCTGTAAGTCCATCTGAATCCCTGCATTTCTAACAAGGATCTGTGGGGTCTGGCTGCTGCTGCTGACCTTGCCTGTTCTCTCTGTGGGCCCAGAGCAGCCACCCACATCCACAGAAGGAGGCTCTGGTGTGGGGACCCTTCTGCTTTCCTCTTCTCCAGTCCTATTTTCTTTTTCTACCAAGTGGGATAATTTCTCCTTGGCTTCTGCAAGTTGATCTTTGACTTGGCCTAAGTCTCTCTGAAGTGATGTTATGTAGCTTTCTTTTACCTACAACATAATGAACAGAACGGCAGAGAAATCAGTTAAGCTCTGTGTACATCAGAAGCTGGGCTCGGGGTGGAAATACAGGGAGCACAGTTCATGCATCAGTGCCAATTTGCAGCAGAAAAGGAAAATCACCCTCGATGCCTCATAGTTTCTGCATATACACATAGTTTCTTTTGTACGCACTATGATCAGATTACAAAGAAGTGAAATTATGTTATCAGCTTTTGTTTTATAACAAAAGCCTTACTCCTCCATCACCTAGTACAGATAAGAAGCATCTTTCCAACCATTATTCCCAGACAAACTAAACAAGAAGTTGCTGGTGAAGAAATTAAAAGTGAAATTTTTCTTTAAATCTAAAGAAGGCTTTCCCTGCCTCTAAAGTCTAAGATACAGATCTAGGGAGTACACTGAGAGGAAATGAAGAGAGGCACACGTGGATGAACTGGAGCTGTGTTGCTCATCTTACCAAAAGATCTTCTTCAAGCTTTTCTGCCCTTTTTTTATAACTGGTGAGTTCTGAAGTGGCTACTGACTCTGCTTCAAGAGCTTCAAGTCCTCCTGAGAATCCATTGTCTCCACTGGCGTGAGTTAGCGTAACAGTTGTCTGAATAAGAGTTGAGAAGACACTATCATTGAGAAACCAGACTGCAGCCCAAGGCACAGCCACACTGCCACGGAGCGTTACTAAGAATGGCTGCCTACAATCAGGGGACAAAATACCCACTGCTTGTTAAAATCAGCAAGGACATTACTTGGTTGCTATCCAGAACTTTCACATTTGTATCAAATGTGACCAAGATATTCCTTACATGATATAGGCAGCTAGTCTTATTAGCACTTTAATATTTATTACCCACAGTAAAGTAGTTCCAAGTCTTGGTGTGAAAATCTTGTTATTGAAATTATTAGCCTTTTCAATATAAACTAAAGTCTTTGTATTGTCTTCTATACAGTAAGAAATAACCATGGTTTCAGATCACTGTCTAAGAAGGCATACAGATCTCTAACACACGTTCTCTTTTTTCCCCATGAACAATGAAATCTCAACAGGTATACAATTTGTAAGAGCTAATGACTTTTTCCACATTAATTCAGTATATCATTAATGTGAAAAGTTTCACTTCTTAAAAGGCATGATGTCAGAGCACATGTATTAGGAAGAAATTAAGGGAGAAGTCCTGGAGGACAGAGCTTAAATTTCATATTTTTATATTTCCTGTTTCAATAGACGACTTTACTAACGGATCAGATATCATCATGTGAAGACCATAGAATACAGTTTGTACTTGTTACTCTGGTGATAAAGTTACCGTGTTAACTTTAGTCTCTGTCTATCATTTTTTGTCCTCGTTTAAGGGAACTGCATTCAGTACAGTAGACCACAGCTAGGCCTAACAGCAAAGTCTCATGAGGCCAACTGTGAGCAGCTGTGCTTCAGGAAACTATAGCCCATCAACCAATCAGATCATTCCCAAAGCCTTAGCCATAATCATTCAAGGTAACACTGTACTTCATTTGGGACTTCTGTCTGTATGTACAGATGGGAAGTCTCTGAGCCTCTCAGTGCTAAACAATTCTTGAACTACAATTCACATTTCAAATAAAGTAATGCCTATCCTTTAGGAACAGTATATTTTCATGAAATCTCATTATATGTAAGTTGTTTGATATTTTAAAAACCTCCAGATTTATCAGTAAACTATCACTGAACAAAGGAAATTACCTAGAACATTTGAGTGAAGAGGAAAAAAAAAAATCAAACGAAAACTAACCTCGCCATCCCTAGGGCTTCTTTCTCCTTCCTCTTCTAGCCTTTTCTTGGCTTCCTCTAAGAGCTTCTGTAGCACCACAACTTTCTCTTCTGTCTCTGAGGCACTTTTCTCCACAATTTCCACATGTTTTTCTGTCACTATACCACTATGCCCTTCAGCTACTTGGCTCTCCAACTCTGCTAGCCTCACGGCCAATGTGGGGACATCGGTCTCCACATTGTTTTCTGTCAGACAATTTATGTTCTGTGCATCTGTCCTGTCAGATGCTGATGAAACCGTTTGCTTTTCTTGGCAGAACTGCACATACTCCTGAGCCGCTTCCGTGTGGACCTGACTGACCAATGCAGCAGCGAGCTTCTCAAGCATCGTCTGCAGGTCTGTGATCTTCTTCTGAAGCATTTCTACTTCAGACTGGTCTTGCTCTTGTATGGTTTCTATTTGTTTATGACACTGGGTTAGCTCAAAGTCCTTGGTACTAACAGACCCCTCCAGTGGCAGTGTCTTTATGTCTAGTATTCTAGAAGCTTTAGTACTTTCTTGAAGACATGTAAGGGAGGTGTGATTTTCTAGAGGCTTGGAAGCATCCTGGGCAGGGGCATCTTCGGGCTGCAGTTTGTCACTGCCAAGCGCATGCAGAGTCATGAGGGCATGTCCCTTTGGTACGCTTGGAAGTTCTTTATTGCTGGCACATTCTTTATTCAAGTTGTACAGTGATTGTGTTATCTGATCCATTTTGAAATTGATATCTTTAAGTACATTTTTCATGTACGTCATTTCCTGGTTGGTGGTTTCTATTTGTTGTTCTAAAACTAGCTTTTCAACAGTCACCTTGTCCAGCTGATGTTTAAAGCTCTCCTCGTCTTCTGGGAGCGTCTCGGCATCCTCTCTCTTCTGCTCATTGGTGACCAACTCCTGCTGCAACTTCTCAATCACACCACCGAGCTGCTCTATTTCTGCCTCGCTCTGTTTCTTCACATGCTCGTGATCACTCATCAAACATTCTATCTTTGCTTCTAGAGCTCGTATCTGTTCCTTTTGTTCTTCGATGACCTATCATTTAATGAAAAAAAGGAGTCATACAAAATCAATGTATATTTACATCTTGGAAATTCTATTTTAAGAAATGACCTTATAGGAATAAGTATGTCCCAAACCAACATAGTGTCTCTGACATAGGAATGTTCTTTCCAATACAGACCAGCGAGATACCTCCTTTTATTTAGAACTTCATTCTGGAGTTTTGTTAAACTTGAGCTCCAACTTAAGCAGTTCATTTCCCTTTAGGAAAACAGTATCAGTGCATCCCCGTGAGCAGAATGAAGTACTAAAACAGGACACACAACAGACGACTCTCAAAGGCAAAGCCTACTCAACACACTGAACAACATAAACATGAACACATCTAGTTAACAAACACCTTCACCAGCTGGGCCATCTCACTGGCTAGATATCTGTTTTTAAAATTCGATGGGAAAGGGTGAGTGAGAAGGTTTAGTGACTAGGTGTGCTTATTCCGTAAGCATGAGAAACTGAGTTCAAGTCCGCAGCATACATATAAAAAGCTGGGCTGGGCAGAGTTATGTGAACCTGTAAGCCAGCACTGAGAACTGGACATAGGCAGATTCTGAGAGCTCACTGGTCGACCAGACTAAATGAAGAACCCCTGTGTCAAGGCAATGAGGCAGAGAGTAACAAGAGAAAATACCTGATGCCCTGTTCTGGCCACTGTGTGCAGAGGCATGGATACATGTGTTTGCATGTTCCCGGTACATGTACCCTACTCCCAGGGAAATTCAACAGGAAAGTGAAAAGTATAACTATTTTGTGTTTTAAATTTTAGTTACAGCCTCTGAGATCGCTTAGTGAGTAGGATGCTGCCTGGGAAAGCTGACAAGCTGAGTTTCATTTCTGGGGCTCATGTGGTATAAGGAGAAATGACTCCCACAAGCTGTTCACTGACCTCCAAAACATGCTGCAGAGTGAGTGCAAACTCACTCCCTTCTCCAAAATAAATAAGTGTAATAAAATCTGAAAAACTGTAACTCATATTAATTTTGCAAACAACTTTACTGGGCACACCTTGTTGTCCGCTGTGAGGTTAAGTTGCTGCTGGAGTTTTATAAACTGTTCGTTTAACCGGTCAATCTCAATCTCCTTTTCTTGTATTAGCTGTGCAAATTTGCCAAACAGCATGGGCTGATCCCGAGAGGACACAGAATCAGATTCCTTCATGGCAAACCCAAGTTTTTCTATTTCATCCTAGGGACAAAAATAATCATCATAATTGTATGATCATTACACGCTACTTCAAAATATTCCTTGAATTAAGTCTTATAAAAGAGATGGCATGCATATAATAAATTAAGATACTGTATTTCAATACTTAAAATATTTTGATAAGTGATCTCAAACATTTTCATTTATGATAAATTTAAGTGTCTAGGTTGAGCAGCAAATAGTTCCCACACAAATGCATTTGCCTACTAATGTTGGTGGCAAATATCCTGGGGATTGGTCTGGTGCCATGTGTCCAAATGCTAAAGTCTGACCCCCAAGATCTGGTTGCTGTCCAGATGAGTGAATTCTTATGGTCACTGGCCTTGCTCCCCAATTTAATTCCTGATTGGCCATTAAATGGTTGGGGCTTATGACTGGGCAGAAAGGATAGGAAGGCAGGCCTGAGAATGAAGTAGAAGATCTCGAGAAAGACCAAGAAGAGAAAGAGGGTAAAGACGAGACAGCAGGGACGGAGAGGGCAGGAGTTTGCCGTTACATGGGATGGAGGAGGAGCACGTAGACAAGAGAAGAGCACCCTGAGGACAGACTGATGAAGCAGAAACAGCCCTGGTAAGACTCAAACAGCGAGTGACAAGGGGCGTACAGTTGAGATGTGAGAACAGTATTGAAGCTGCCCAATCTAGGATTGCAGCTTGTAAATAAAATACCAGGGTTCTGTAACTTTTCTATGGGCTAGCTAGAATAATTCATTTACATAAGTAACTTACAAGAATACAAAGCATCAAAATGTGAATTATTTTTCTAAGTCAATTACCTTAAATAATCTGTTTTCTTGCTGGAGCTCTTGCAGGCGGGTGGTGGACTCCTTTTTCTGAATTTCTAGCTGCATGAGAAGTTCCTGAACCTCTTCATTCTTATTTTCCAGTTCTTCCCGAAACTGCTCTAATTGTTCTTCTAGGTTGGTGATCTTTAAAACCAAAGTTATCCAAGAGGGAACAAAAAAACCAACATCAACAACAACAACAAAAACCCAGTTCATACACATGTTACTGTCAAACAGAAAAGAGTTCTATTTATTTTATAAAGAATGTATAACCATTTACATATGCTTAAACATATATGTTTACTTGCTTAATTCCTAAACATGTTCAAACTGAATTTTTCTGTTTTCTGGTTTTTTTTTGTTTTGTTTTTAAAGATAAGGTTTCTCCATGTAGCCCTGGGTCTCCTGAAACTTGCTATGTTTGAGGCTAGCCTGCCTCTGCCTCTTTCAATGTCAGAAATAAAGACATATGTCACCATACCTGGCTTCAGACTACAGAAAAGATTTACTTCTATTATTTTGATTATATGAGTTGACTGAGGATAGTAATAGCTGTTTAACCAACTACTTCATGACTACTTAATAGATGTTTAATGAATGAATTTGTGAATTCCTGTTCAAATGATCAAAACTGCTACAATACAAGCACCTTAAGATGTAGGAGCAGCACTGAGTGGCAGCGAGTTGTTTACCGCTTTATGCTCTACAGGGTAATAGGTTGTTTATGCATGGCATCATAGACCTTGGGTCCCAGTACTGACAAGCAAGGCTTTGAAGTCAGCCTAGCAAGTCCAATAAAAATAGCAAAATACTAGCAATAATAGCCAAATTTGAGGCTGGGATGATAGCTCAGATGACCACATATGAGGGCCTGAGTTTGATCCCCAGCACTCTGTATAAAAAGCTAAGTATGGTGATCTGAGCTTGGAATCAGAGCACTGGGGAATTGGAGACAGTTGAAGACAAGCCCTAGGGCTTGTCAAGACCAGTCTAGTCTACCTGCTGAACCACAGGTCCCAATGAACCACGGGTCTCAAAAGACATGGTTGAGGGTTCCTACGGAATGACACCTGAGGTGGACCTCTGGCCTTCACACATGAAGCCCCGCTATGTGTACATGCACACACACACACACACACACACACACACACACACACACAGAGAGACACCCTCTCATCCACAGTGTTCTATAATCATTCCCATTATATAAAAGAAAGAAAAGTCACAAAGAGAAGCAATGTATCCTCAGATAACAGTCAGGGTAAAGCTATCTGTGAGTCTGAAGGGATGACTGCTGCAGCCTTCCATTCCAAATCACTGCTTATCCTGCTTCTTTTCTTTCCCTCTTTCTTTTACGATGTATTTGTTTTATGTAGGAGTGCTCTATATGCACATACACCTGCAGGCCAGAAGAGGGCATCAGATCCCATTACAGATGGTTGTGAGCCACCATGTGGTTGCTGGGAATTGAACTCGGGACCTCTGGAAGAGCAGCCGGTGCTCTTAACCACTGAGCCATCTCTCCTGCCCTATTTATCCTTTTTCTTGTAACAAATGTCAAAGACCACAGCACTCTCTCTCATCTGTAATACTGGTATCTAATTCTGTAGGTACTCAAATATATTAGTGATCCTGTACATATAATTATCAGTTTATTGCTGAGAACACTGATTATCACGTTTATTAAGGATATATACTAGTTATACACCAGTTCATATCTTCCTATCTATCCCTATCTTCTACAACTACTTTTAGAACAAGGTATTATAAAAGACACACACATAGTTATTTCACTTCAAAATTGCAGCCTACATTACACGTCATGCCCATTCTTTTAATGTGTCATTTTACAGGCAGTCTTAGCTCTGTGATCTAAAGCCTTGCTGCTAAAGTCAAGTATTATTTACTACTACTGCCTATAAGCATGTTAGCAATACAAGATCTAAGATTTATGTAAGGCACCTTTTTCTAAAACCACCACCACAACAAAAAACCTTCTTTCTTTGCTCTCCCACCCTCCTCCTTCTCATCTTCTTCCTTCTCCTCCTCTTCCTCCTCCTTCCCTCATTTCCCAGTCCTGGCCGCCCTGGAACTCACTATGTAGACCAAGATGCCCTTGAATTCAGAGATCCACTTCCTCCAGGAAGAAAGGCATTGAGGTCCACTATGCCCAGCTAGAAACTTCAGTTCTATACTTTTTAGAAAACATTCTTGAAACTTTTAAGTTTTATTTCTATTCATCTTCCATTTCAAATAGTCTAACAGGCTTTTAAAGATGTTTCTGTCCAAACTCAGGCTCTGAGAGTGAATCCATTTAAAATCTGATACATATTTGATACATCTTCAGTTTATATCAGTTATCTGAAAATATCTGCCTAGTTTTCAGAGCAAATGCTTGAAGTTTTTTGTTGTTGTTTTTTTGCTCTGCTTTTTGTATTTTTATAATACATGCTCTGATGCTGTCCTTTTTCACGCCAATGAGTAGTACTACAGAACACCTATCACTGTTAGTAAACACTCAGCTTGTTAACTCCTTTAATGTCTGTCACTCTATGTCTGTAAAGAAACAAGCTGGCTGACATAAGGTCTCTCTGGTTTTTACCATTCCCAGATGACAGCTGATTCTGGGGAGAAAAGTAAAAATCTATTAAATACTCAATTCAAGAAGCTGAGGTGATAGAGCTATAGTACATTTTAAGAATACTAAAAATAGGTGGTCATGGTGGCATACGCCTGTAGTTCCAGCTGTTAAGGATGCACACTGCTGTGGCAGCATGTTCTGGAAATCCTAGCTCTGGGTAGGCAAAAACAGGTGGCTCTCTGGAGCTCACTGACCAGCCAGTCTAGCCTAACTGGTGAGTGCTAGACCAGAGAGAGGCTCTGTTTCAAAAGCAGAGAGGCAGGAGTAGGGCTGGGGTCTTTGGAGATACACGGCATCGCTCCAGTTCCAGGGGAGCACACCCTCTTCTGCACTCTGTGGGTGGACACTGATGCACTCACATGCACATATCCACATAGATACCAATTAATCTTTGAAAAAATAAAATGAGGTAAACAAGTATGGAAGAACAATCCCAGTGACTGACCTCTGTTTCTACACACAGGTACACAAGGGATTGTACCCCTAAATTCTTTAAAAGTCATATCCATAGCATTAGGATGTATTTAATGGGGAAAAAAAGGTTTAAATATATTACAAATGAAGTAGTAAGTTGAATTTACTTTTGTAATTATAATGAATTTTCACTTTTAAAATAGGGCCTTGCTATGTTGCTCAGTCTGAGTGAACTAGCCCCAATCCCTCCACCAACCTCAGCTTCAGGGGCAATTGGGGTGAACCCCTATTCCCAGCTGAATGGGACACTTTTCAGGTAAGGAGTACAGAAAACCAGGAAAGCTATAACTATTATTGTTGTTGGTGGTGTTATTATGTGTAGTGTTGGGGAATCCTAGGTGCTTGCACAAGCCAGGCCAGTGCTCAGTAAAGGGCTACATACTCAGTCCCGGTCACTTTAATCCACTCTCTTAATGATATGCTTGACTTATGAAATAATTACACAATAATCTCTCAGGAAAGTATTTTAAATAAGCAGAACAGCAGCAGCAGCAAGCTGTCACAGACACCTGACAGAGTGGCGGTGACTGAGAGACGTATGAGCTAACCATGGTCCCACCCACACCCCGGCTCTCTCCTCTCCGTCCAGTCCACACCGGCTCCACTTTCATCTGAACTCTTCCTACCTAAAGGTCCTTCACTCTTTCTGCCTCAAGGTCCTTCCTGCGCGGCACTAACCTTCAAGAGCTTGCTTGTTCAGTTTATGACCTTCAAGGTCAATCTTCCAGGCAGTGAACTGAGAAACACCCTAAACTTCGCTTTCAGACAGCGTCTTTCTGTTCAAATGATACTTTCTAAGTGACTGATTTTAAACTGCATTTGTGATTGAAAAAGAAACTTCTTACCTCTTTCTGTTTTCTATCTGTAGCATCCCGCTCAGCCTGCAATTGAACTTCTAGTGATAATTCTGGTTCCACTTCTAGAGCTCCAGACCTTTTCTGGTCCTCTGCCTAAAAATACAAGAACTTTTTTAAAACATCAGACATTATACCCTGATAATTCATTGTGGTATTTTTATTTAGCAGTAATTCTATTTTTCTAATTTAAAATGAGAAACTCTACATTTAAGACTATTAAACAAGCTACAGGTACTCAGTCTTACATGGATTTTTCATATACTAAACACACACTGCTGACACTTAAAACTCATGCCTGAGATAAAACAAAAATCCTCTCCATCTGCCTGCCTCCAGGCTCTCTCCCTCTGCTTGTCCTCTATCCATTCTGCTTTTCTGGAGAATAACAGGAACAGGCTTCATTGCATCTAATCTGGAGTCAGGCAAGAGCCTGAAAGCTCATGGGCATAGCTGACAGTTAAAATTGTAATTAACTTCCAGCTTAACTAGTCTTCCTGAATCAGAAATAAGGGATGCAAACAACATCTGAAAGTAAAACAAACAAAAGTAGTAATGAAGATACACTGCGCTCTAATGTCAACAAGGGAATGAAGGTAACATTGTGTCAGTAGGCAGCTGTCACTGGAGCAGGACAGCCTGAGGTCTCCCGGGCTCGCACCTTTGGGAAGGGCTCTGCAGTAGCCAGCAGGGCTTGCTCCAGCTCTCGCACCCGGCATTCCAGCTTCTCAATCTCTTCGTTCCTTTCCTGCACATCTCGCTGCAGCTGCTCCTTCGACAGCAGCAGCTCGCTGCACTTGTCTGTTTTCTCTTTCAAGTGGTTAGTTAACTGTTCAACCTGAAGACATGATGAAACCATGGTTCAGAGTGTAGAGTGTTCATAGTGATGAAACATACTTATAATTTAAAAACTGATTTCCGGGGCTTGAAAATGTATCTCAGTGGTACAGTGTTGCTTTCTTAATACATGCAACTCCTCAGGTTTGAACCAAAGTGCACCCCACTAAAATCAGGTATTTTAAAACATGTTAATCATATTTTAAAATAAGGATAGCAATGGTCATCTCTAGCAAAAGCAACAATGCATACTGATAAAATTGGGCAGACTTGTAAAAAGAGAAATATCATTGCTTTCACAGAACTCATTTTTAAAGTTTTTTTTTAATTTACTTTTATTTTTTCTTATTCACTTTATATCCCACTCACTGACCCCCTCCTGGTCACCCCTTTCCACAATCCTTCCCCCATCTCCAAAGGATTTTTGTTTTATTTTTAAGAGCATCGTGGATTTACCCTGGCAGAAAGAGGGAAAATGCATTTTGAATAATGTGAAGTATCTAATGGCCCAGCACACCACAACCTAATGACATAACAAAGTTGAGAGACTTGCAGCTTGCTTCCTGACTTGCTCCTAGGTAAACAACCATGACCTTTAAGTCTTCCATGTGTTCTAAGTCGGTAAGAGTTGTTTGGCAAAGGTTTAGCCTATACATTCTGCAGGCTGAGAGAGGAGGAGAGATATAGGAAGGAATCTGAATTCCTTTAAGTGCCATTGGTCTTGTCTCCTACACTGTACAAAATAGACAGTAAGTATTCCAGGATTTACCTTCTAGGACTGATATGCAGTGCCAAGTGTTGTGTAACAGCAATGGAAGAATACAGGAAGGATTCATAAGATGGATTATGGACATACTTATCAAGGAGAAAGTTGTATATTGTAATTTTCAGAAATATAAGAATATTAAATTTCAGTGAGGCATTTAGGAGAAATTATCAAACTGAAAACTATTGTTCTCAGAACATTAAAACAATGTAAGCTTAGTCTAAGTACAGGCTCTTGGATGACAGTAGAAAGCTACTGAAGTGCTGGAGAAGGCTCAGTTAAGAGTGTTGGCTGCTTTTCCAGTGGACACAGGTCCAGTTCCCGGTACCCACATGGAGGCTGACAGCAGCCTGGAACTCCACTTTCAGAAGATCTGAAGCACTCAGACAAATGCAGGCAAAACACCAAACACAGAGTGAGTGAGTGAGTGAGTGAGTAAATGAGTGAGAGTGAGTTAGTGAGTTAGTGAATGAATGAGTGAGGGAGTAAACAAGTGAGTAAGTAAGCTAGTAAGTGAGCGAGCGAGTGTGAGTAAGTGAATAATTGAGGGTGTAA